GCAGATGCCTCCTTATTTTTTCTCCTTGCTATTCCCCTCATCCCTCTGCATTTAGTATAAAGCAAAAGCAGCAGAAGTGGGTGTTGTTTACTTGGACTTAAGTAACTTACTTTGATATTGATCTCCACAGCATTCTCATGAAAAACTGCTTGCCTAAGACTTGGACAGGTGTACACTCTGCTGGATCAAACACTGGCTGGATAGCTGGGCTGAGAGAGTGGTTGTGAATGGAATTAAATCCAGTTCATGGCTGGTCAGAAGTGGTGTTCCCCACAACTCAGTGCTGGAGCCAGTCCTATTTCACATCTTTATCAATGATCTGGATGAGGGGATTGAGTGCACCCTCAGCAAGTTTGCAGACAACACCAAATTGGGTGGGATTGTTGATCTGCTTGAGCATAGGAAGGCTCTGCAGAGGGACCTAGACAGGGTGAATCAATGGGCTGAGGCCAACTGTATGAGCTTCAACAAGGCCAAGTGCTGGGTCCTGCACTTGGATCACAAACACTCCATGCAGTGCTGCAGGCCTGGGGATGAGTGGCTGGAAAGCTGCCTGATGGAAAAAGACCTGGAGGTGCTGACTGAGAGCCAACAGAGCATGAGCTAGCAATGTGCCCAGGTGGCTAAGAAGGCCAATGGCATCCTGGCTTGTGTCAGGAATAATATAGCCAACAGGACTAGGCAAGTGATTGTCCCACTGGACTTGGCATTGGTGCAGCTGTACCTTGAGTTCTGTGTTCAGTTTTGGGCTCCACAGTATAAGCCAGACATTGAGGTGCTGGAGAGGGTCCAAAGAAGGGCAGCAAAGCTGGTGAAGTGTCTTACGAGGAGCAGCTTAGGGACTTGAGGTTGTCTGAAGAAAAGGAGGCTGAGAGGTGACCTTATCGCTCTCTACAACTTCCTGATAGGACTTTGTAGCAAGGTGGGATTTGGTATCTTCTCACAAGTTATTATCAGTAGGTCAAGAAGAAATGGTGTAAAGTTATGCCAGGGGAGGTTTAGGTTGGACATTAGGAAAAACTTCTACACTGGAAGGGTATCAAAGACTGGAACAGCCTGCCCAGGAAAGTGGTGGAATCACCATCCTTGGTGCTCAGATATGGTGCTCATGACA